ACTGTGTTCAGTGTGCTAGCTGTCTGCTGCAGCTCTGGGTCCTGAGTCATGCTTTGTCTTTGGCACACAGAGCATTATAGATAATGACTTGTTTTTTAAAAGAAAGACAAGACAAGTGCCAAACCATCACCAAACAGATGACAGCTGATATCGTGCCTTTGCTAACTTTCATTTGGTTCTCGGCCTCAACAGTTTGGTAACAGCAAGCTCTAACCAGTAAAAGCCGAAGCACAAATAAGGAACAGAGGGATTGCAAACACACCCCATGCTAGGTGGTGCATCCACACACATCTGCAGATTCCCAGAGGCCTAATCCCAGCTGGAACCCTCACCCTTAGTTATGCTTACAAATACAGCATATTCTCTTACTCCTGCAAAATGTTCGAAATGGTTTGATCGCCAAACACTTTAAAACGGGATGAGCTGTAGGTTTGAGCAAAAAAGATTGGCACAAGAAGTAAGGGTAACTGCATGTACTGTATATAAGCAGACAGCACGGAGCTGTTGTGGTCAGACTCTGATCTGAGCCATCAGCACAGATCCACCTGCAAAGAGAGAAACAAGAGGAGGTGTTTAGGCCCATGAAGCACTTTTAGTTGTTAGAATGTAACTGATCCAAGGATTTCTTTCAGCCAGTTATTAAAACGAGAACCAGCTGGGCAGCTTGTTCCCCACTCCCACCTCTCTTCATGTAAAGCAATGTCTCCTGTTCTCTGTTTGAAATACACTTCCCACTTGGCCACATTGCCGCAGCTGAAACCCTCACCTCCAGTTGGCCAGCCCCTCTCAGCCCATGAATGCACCAAACCCAGATCACAGGCGAACCAGACTCTCACTGGGTTCTGAGAGACCAGGCAGAGTTGGGTCACCACTGCAGGTACTGGTGCGCCCCAATGGTCTGGTTTGGCCACGTGCTTTACTCTAGATACAGAATCATGAGTACAGACCTCCTTCCTATGCTAGTAGGGACAGGTGGTGTGATGTAGGGTTGAGTTTTTGCATCGGTGTATTGGGTTAATCCGTTTTTCTAGGACTAGGTAACCTTCCCTCTGTTGTATGGGTGTAAGATTTCTGAATTAAAAATCCAGAGCCGAGCAGCGCTGCACGAGACGTACTGTACGTAACCAGGATTCCTGGAGAGGATGTCGTGTGTTCGTGTGCAGGGAGGGCGCTCTGTGGGCCGGTGCCTCTCAAACACCGGGCCCTGGCTGACAGTGGAGACCACAGAGCTGCAGGTTCCACCTTTCCTGCCATCCTGCTCTGGACAAAACAAGGGTGTACAGCTCCGTACTGTTGAGGCCACCGGAGATTGTGGGTTAGAAAACTCTGGACAGCAGTACAACACACGAACGCTAACACCATGGCCAAAAAAAAACATCACTTTGAATTAAAAAAGGAGGTACAACCCCCGATCTGCTTGCCGAATTACATTGCTTTCTCAGGCTAGCAAATCCCTAGCTCCACTTGAAGTTATTTTATTCCAAATGAGAAGTTCCACATGAGAATCGCATGAGTTACAACGGTGATGCTGTACACACTACCAGGAGCTTCTAGCTATGCTTTGAGTTTGTGAAGGTGGGAGGGCTGGTCCAGGCAGGGCCTGTGTCCTGCTGGCGTGCGCGACACTTATTAGCTTCCCCCTGCGCTGGGAGCACGGCGCAGGAGAGCTGCCCTCTGCTCACGTTGAATACTGCTGCAGGGAGAGAGAGCTGCAGGAACACGTTTCCGCCGCTTGCTCAATACAGGGGAAAAGGAGGCAAAAACTAAGGCACCTGCTTGGGAAGTGCCAGAACGAGAGAACGCTTGGACAGGAGGGGCTCAGACAGAGGGAGGAGCTGCGTCAGCGCGCGCAGGCTGCAGAGGAGCAGGTACAGGCCCAGTCCCAAGCACAGCGCCTCTCTTCAGTACAGAACAAACCTTCACCTGTATCCCTGCACCTGCTCACAAGCCTGACTGGCTGCGATTCTAGTCCTGCCGGGGAATCTCTCCGATTCTTACCGAAAAGTGGTGCAGCACCAGCCGGTAGAACACGTGTAAACTAAAAGTCTACAAAATCATTTATTTAGCATTGGTTTCGTTAATAAAATCACCGTTGCTTTAAGTTCTTTCATGCCCATAGGATCCCTGTGATGTAGACTTCTATTCCTATCAATAGGAGCAAGTTAAACCCATCCAATTCTAAAGGGATTAAAGAAGGTTGTGTGTTAGAGAGAAGACTTCAACAACATCAGTGCTATTTGTGTAGCAGAAGAGAAGAGATTTTCCATGATTGAGGCTCAGCAGGTCTCTGATGCACGCTGGTACCAGCCCAGCTCCGGCCTGTCATGATGTGGCGTCTGTTTGGGACCCAGCCGGTGTCTGTACCCCTAAACTGAGCCACAAACCTGCCAGACAGAACCCAAACACAGCCAGAAATATGACAGAGTACCAAGACTTCAGGCCACAGGAGCTCTGTATCTGCATATGAGAGAAGGGCAGGCAGGAGTGGATAGGTAGGTACCAACTCCATTAATCTGAAGCTCACCAGTGATCTCCTGTCTTATAAGAGTATCCTCTTCAACCACATGGCTGGGCAGCTACTTCCACACCCCCACCACCCTTTGTGGAAAGAAGCGCCTGCCTACTGTTTCTGATTTCTAAGGTGATTCCCGGTAGTTTCCTCTCGCGTCCTCTGGCAGGCTGAGTGACAGCCCTGTCGGCCGATCGCAGTGCCCGCTGTGCTTCAGCGGTCTGAAATCCACCACACCCCTTTCCCACAAAACGGAAGGGAACGCCAGGCTGCAGAAATGTGCTTGATTAACTTTTACTTCAGGCTCGGATTGCATTTAATGCTTTTGTGCATTATAAATTGTGTCCGTCGGGGTGCAGGTGTCTGTTCATCTGTGCTCACGCCCTTCTGTTGTCTTGGCAACCAGTGTCCGTGTTTTATCCTGGTTGGGCCGGTCCGCTGGCCATCAGCGAGAGGCGCCAGGGTTTCCCGAAATCCCGCATGGCCTTGGCCCGGAGACGCTGGGAATGTGGTGGTTGAGATCTCTGAGGCTCCGCTTGGCTCCGGCTACACTGAAAACATGTTACTCCTTCTGTGTCTAGAAAAATGCACGAGCACACCCACACAGGCGCAAGGCATAAGGTTCTGTAGCCTAGCAACAGGCTGCTGTAATTACCGTGACAGAAACACATTTGCATCCCTGCTTCCCGTCTTGAGACTGGAGACAATGGGCCACCCATCCTCTGCAGCACCCTCCCCACACCTCTGCTGCTCGCTGGCCCTCCAGGCACTGCGCCCCTGTCCAGTCCCCACTCCCACACTGTACCCCAGTTTCTCCCCATCCTAAACCCACTGGCCCACTCCCACTCCCACACTGTCCCCCAGTTTCTCCCCATCCTAAACCCACTGGCCCACTCCCACTAACACACTGTCCACCAGTGTCTCCCCATCCTAAACCCACTGGCCTGCTCCCACTCCCACACTGTCCCCCAGCTCCCCACCCTGCCCCCACTGTTCCTGGGTTTTTCAGGGCTCGTTTGCTCTGGTCCTGGGTTTCTCAGGGTTCGTTTGCTCTGGGCTGGTCGTCTCCGCTCAGGCAGTGTGCCTGACTGGGCTCTGTACCTCGTGGTGCGACTGGAGCTGTGCAGGTGCTCTCCTCACACTTCCACACCCCGGGGGCTGACGCCCCCTGTGGAGGGGGAGACAGCTGCGCGGCGTTGGTCCGGGGAGGGGGCTCTCCGTGCGCGGCACACCCTGCGCCTCGGGATTCAGCTGAGCTGCTGCTCCACTGGAGCCGTGCCTCTCGGGGGGCCGTCGCAGTGTCACCCCTCTCCCGGCCGCCCGAGGCTCTGCTCTCGTTCTCCACATGCACACCGTTACAAGGTATGAGCCCACACACACACTCCCACGCACACGCCTCACCGACACACAGGAAGGGAGAGATCTGAGGTCCCGTAGCTTAGCAACAGGCTGGGTGATCACTGTGGCGGCTCCAGCTAGTGGGGGACTGCTGAGCCGCGTTTCTGGGGGCCACGGGGGGCGGCATCAGGTGACCCCTGTTCCAGGACAACGCGATGGGATAGTTTTGCAGGCGTCGGGACGAATCGGCTTGATTAGAGCAGGCGTGGTCAGTCTTGACGCCTGGAATCATGGCCGTTGCAGAACTTTGAACCTTCTAATAGCATAGATAGAAAACTGATCTTTAATTGTTGAATTGCCCCAGGTGCTGCAGATGAGCCAGAGCGAACACATGCATTGACCCGGTATCCAGGTGGCAGGGTTACCAGCCCTACACTAGATCCTTCACTTGTACTTGAAAAAGATGTTTAAAATGTAAAAAAAATGGCATTTGTTTTTCTTCCACATCCCCCACTTGGTGTTGGACTTTTTAATCGTTCACATGGCTGCTCGAACCCGTGCACAGGCTTTACTCCATCAGAGCACACAGAGCAGAACTCGGGGTCAGACAGGAGGACTGCACACACCCAGATTAAACGTCAAATAAATAACCGAAAACCATCCCATACTGAGAACTGGAATGTAGAACAAGCTGCCCAGCCTTGTTACTGGAGCTGATACCCGTCTTCTTTCAAGAAACGTCTGGATGAGATCCTCCAATTAGGACAGGATGCACATCTTTACACAAAGGGTAGCGGGGGCATGGAACAAGCCACCAGCCAGGCTGTTGAAGCTGATACCCCGGCTTCTTTCCAGAAAGGGCTGTATGGGATCCTCAGGTCAGTCAGCATTTAAAGCCAAATGAGCCAGAGGGTGCCAGATGAGTCCTGTCTCTGGTGTCTGAACCCCGGTGGGGCCCGACCGTGTCTACGTGCCACACCGAACGGAGCCGGTGGCACCGTGCCGGCCCTGCGGACACAGCGGGACACCCTGGGGAACAGCCGGGTGCCGAACGAGCGCAGCGTGGG